ATTTATTGATCATGATAAATGAAATAAACGGTCGGTTCTTGTTAAATGGAACATCAAAGACACCTTTGCTACATGAAACAGACTACTGAATAGAGATTGCTGCACTCTTCGGCGATGTGATACCGTGTAGCCTGGTAGATAATTATATTTTGGAGTAACATGCTGAACATAGAGATAACATGTTCCCCTGACGGCAGGGTCTAGCAGACAGTGATCTTCAGGGTCGGGTTTCTTCTATTGCTAGTGGGGTGGGACTAAGTCCCTTGTACTGGGCCAGTTCTGGCCTATTGTACCAGCCCCACATAACAGGTGAGGGTGACTGTGGAGCAATTGGTGGAATGAAGATTGGCAGGGGAAACCGAAGTACTCGGAGAAAACCTGCCCCTCTTTGTCCACCACAAATCCCACTTGACCACACCCGGGATCGAACCCGGGCCGCCGCAGTGGAAAGCCAGCGACTAACAGCTTGAGCTATGGCGCGGCCTTCAGAGTCGGCTTGATAACTTCAAATCTTGCACAGGTTACGAGATACCTGCGCTTCCAGGACTTAGTGAGTACACATTGTCAGTCGTAAATTGAGGCATAAGTAAATAAACAGACTTACTTACTTACTTACTTACTAATGTGAACTTAGCCCTTCTTGAGGAGCTGATAATTCTGCAGCTACTCAAGAACTTCCCAGCATTTTATGGAACCCGAAGGTTTATTACTGTGTTCACAAGAGCGCTCCACCGGTCCCTATCCTGAGCCAGATCAATCCAATCCATACCTCTTAAGATCCATTTTAATATTGACCACCCACCTACGCCTTGGTCTTCACAGTGGTTTCTTTCTTTCTGGCTTTCACACCAATATCCTATATACATTCCGCTTCGCCCCATTCGTGCTACATGCCCTTCCCACCTCATCCTCCTTGACTTGGTCATTCTAATTATACTTAAATAAACAGAGTGCTATTAAGAAATGGGAAAAGAGAACAGATTCATAAAAGAATTTACTGCCAATATGTCTATCTTATTCATCCATTCATTCGTCAGCGGCTCTAGAGCCCTTTGTTGGGCCGTGGCAACTTCTTCAGTTTCGTAACCTTATGAACAGTTAGTGGACTCCTTGGACGGGGGATCAGTCGGTCGCAAGGTCGCTACCTACACACAAGACAACACAAGCACAGATTAAATGCACACAGACATCCATGCCAATTAGAAATTAAATTACTGTTTGAAACGAGAAATAAAACATTAAAATAACTACATGTCACTGTTGGGACACACGATAGAGTAGTTGGTTAAGGCACTATGCTACAAGCTGGAAGGTCGCGGGTTCGATTTCCTATGAGGTTGAATTTTTCAATTTACTTAATCCTTCCAGACGCACTATCGCCTTGGGGTCAACTGAGCCTCTATCAGAAAAGAGTACCAGGAATCTTCTCGGGGTAAAGGGTGGTCGGAGCGTAAGGCTGACAACCTCACCGCCATCTGTGAGACGATTTTTTAGAAAATGTGGGTGCCTCAACGTCTCACAACCCTACGGGCCTCCACGGCCTGTTACAGGGATAGTTTCTTACCTCGTAACCCCCCCCCCCGGAAAATAGTACTCTTAAACTTAGAGCCTCTTTTTCCTTTTGCTATATGTAAATTAGCCATAAAATGTACTTATTATCCACATTTAATGGATAGTTTGTATAATTATTGGAGTTAAATAAAAAAAACTTAAGAGGGTTCTCTACAATAAAATTCCCACCTGTAACGTGGCCGCAAGTGGCCAAGTAGACGCATGACCTACTAAGTTATTCTGACATATTAAATTGCCCGTACACTACAATTCCTTAATTTATTTTTGCTGTTCCTGGTGGTTGTTTGTTGTTGTTGTTGTTGTTGTTGTTTATTGGAGAGGGTGGGTTTCCCCATGCACTTAGACCATATATTGCTCCATTGTGAGTCACCCTATAATATTCTACCAATCTCTATACCCTACCGGTACTGGTGCGTGCCATCAGTCCCGACTCAGCCAGCGAGTTCGGCCTCTACTGGCTCAGCGGTATCTCGATGCTTCCCCCATCTACCAGAGGCGTTAGAGACTACTGTTGGGCGGGAAATGTCTTGAATTTGGCTCAGAGGTCCCCTTGGGACATGAGGTTCTTTTACGTGCCGTAAAGCTACGACACGGGACCCACGGCTTAAAGTCCCTCCCGGAGGACTTGTTCCCTGAATTTTTCCGCCCTTAAAAATTCCACGACCTCCGCCGGGTTTGAACCCGCGTACCTTGAGTCACGAGGTGCGAACGTTACCCCTAGACTACGGTAGCCGCTGTTCCTGGTGGTTACTCCGAAACATCGCTTGGAGTACGCGACGTTATAGTACTCTTCAGATGATATTAAGCTTTGGATTCTCTGGATTGTGGACTGCATCCTTCAGTCTAGTGTTCCTGAGGGACCTGCCTCCGTTCTCAGGCGAAGAGCCAGAGGGGCCGGCTACTCAGCTGCCTTCGTCAATAAGGATTGTCTCAATTCACTGACCTCTAGTGAAAAATATCCGTTTTTTTTAACGAACACAAAGGAATAGTTATTTTGCCACATTTTCACCTGAAGACAGAAAGAGTTTCAATCTGCGAAACTCTGTATTATGTTTAGAATATTGAAGGAAGGGTAGAAACCTAGCGTACTGCCTCTGGATTCCGGGACTAAAGCCACGGAGTTTGTTTGTTTGTTTGTATTGTTATTCCTTTCTTCTTTTCCTACTTCCTTGACGGGTTACACTCTCTCCGACCTGTTTCTATGTAGAATTAATTATGAAGCCTTGAATCTTACAGACAACTGTAGTAGTCCTTGGACGGGGGATCAGCCCTGTCGTAAGGCAGCTACCTACACAGGTCAACACAAATCCAGGAAAGACAGGCAGACACCCACCGTTTGAGTGAGATTCGAACTAACGATCATATTGTCGGCGAGAGCGAAGAGATTATCGACAACATAAAATGACAAATATTATGAAGCAATTAAACTATAAAAGCGTCCCAGTTTAAACCAGTGAGACACAAACCTACTCATATATTTACGCATTAAACTACTGCACTGAGTAACTAGATAACTATCTCTCTATGGCTCTACAGCCCTTTGGACCTTGGCCTACGTACACTCGGTAGGACCCTTTGGACGGGGTATCAGCCCGTCGCAAGGCCGCTACCTGCACACAGAACAACACAAACACAGACAGCCACACCTCCAGTGGGATTCGATCTCAGTGTTCGAGCGGGCGAAGACGGTTCATCCCTTCGATCGCCGCGGCCACTGTGAGCGGCAGATAAGTAGCTACTTCTAAATCTATGGAAGAAAGTAGTTGTGGAGAAGCCAACAACGTAATTCTTTGAGCTGCTCAACATGACCTTCCCCTTTCAGAACCAGAAGATTCATCACCGGTTTCAGAACCCCCCGTCACTAGACTCCCCTTGAGCCCATCTTGAGAACGTCACTGGAACTAGATCCTCTGACGCGTACCCAAAGCTCACAATCAGAACCTCCCCTCACATTTAAAAACTAAAACTTTCTGCCCGTTTCTGATAGCATCAGTAGCGTAGTTGGTTGAAGCACATACTACAAGCTTGCAGGTCTCGGGTTCGATTCCCGATGAAATGTTAACATTTCGTAACATGCTATTTTCTTTGCTTGAGGGGTTGTTTGTCCTCCACTGAACCTCAAAGCTGGTGGGAAATCTCCTAGGAACACTCCACCACTGCTTATTCAACATATTCGCAGCTACCCCCCTCCCCCCAAGAAATATCCTCCGGAGCTGAAGTTCACCCTTGGGAGCTGGTGACTAAGAACAAATGCAACAGGGAGGCAAATGTTACCGGCCTGTAGGTTACGCAGAAACAAAATAACAGGAAGTTTTACGAGTGTTCCCAATCATCAGCGCATTAAAGCTAACAGAATAATCGGCAAACAAACAAACGCGATGAGAAGAAACATAATACCAAAACATACACTGCAATAGACATCAAGGAAAAGAAAATACACCCGCAAGCTTCATACAAATGTATGGCATCTGAGATCTTCATGGAGGTGAATATTCGTGGAGAGAAGGGAATCATACGACTTACCCTGTTTAGTTGATGGTGATAAGTTATAAAGTTTACGTAGGGGCGATGAACAATTTAACCCTCTAACCAAACAATCT